GGGTTTTAAAAATGTTCCTTTCTTTTTTTTCGACATGTGTGTTTTATATAAAATTTTAGCATGCACAAAAAAATTGTACATAAGCACTCGAAAATTTTTGGGGTTTTTAAAAGCAACTTCGACACCCCTTTTTTTGGCCCAGACCCCCTCAGTAAAATTTGGGGCAAACCCCCCCCTTCCTCTGGGTTTTAAGGCCCTTATCCCCATGTTGTACCTTATGCCCCATGGACTTGTTAAAAACCTGTTGTCAGTAAAAAAAGAAAAGCATATCATAAAAAAACCTTTTATTTTGGTTTAAAATGACCCCAAAATTTAGGCGAGGGTAACAACCGTATGAGCCCAGGGTTCCCAAGAACTTGATCCAGCTGCACCAACCGTTTGTCAAGGAAATTTTTTTTTTTTAAACAAGGGTTTGCTTTTCTTATTTTCTTATGACGGCGGCTGGTGAGACAAAAAAGCCTTTTGAGGTATAAAGTGCAGCGTGGTGAACCAGAGATTTTTAACCACTTCCAGTCCGGACCTTTTTCCCCCCCCTTCCAGTCCGGACATTTCCCCCCCCCCCCTTCCGTCCGGGGACACTTCCCCCCCCCCTTCCAGTCGGACACTTTCCCCCCCCTTCCGTCCGGACATTTTCCCCCCCCCTTCCGTCCCAAAACCTTCACCCCCCTTTGTCCGGCACCCCCCCCCCCTTCCGTCCGGACATTTCCCCCCCCCTTCCCAGCCCGGGCCCCATTTCCCCTTAGTGGACAATTTACCCCCCTTCCCAGTCGGGACACTTTCCCCCCCCCTTTCCCAGCCCGGCCTTTCACCCCCCTTCCAGTCGGACGCTTTCCCCCCCCTTCCAGTTTGCACTTTCCCCCCCTTGGGTTTGGACACTTTCCCCCCCTTCCAGTCCGGACATTTTCCCCCCCCTTTCCGGCTGGACCTTTCCCCCCCTTCTGTGGGGACCTTTCCCCCCCTTCCTGTCCTGGCCAATTTTTCCTTTCAGTGCTTACCTTTGTGAAAATTGCTGGTTGCAAAACACCTAGAACTTTTTAGCTTTTTTTGGACAGATAAAGCTTTATTTTGGTGGTATTTATTCACGCTGGGATTTTTTTTTTTTTTGCTAGAAAATGAAAAAGTCCAAAAATTTTGAAAAAAGTTTTTTTTATAAATTTAGAAATAAATAATATTTCATCATAATCTTTGCCAAAATTTATTGTTATCTTTATAGTACAAAAAAAAAACACAAATTAGTTTAGAACCAAAAAGTTATAATTTTTAACATTTTTTAAAAAAAAATTTTTTTATTCTATATTATTTAATGGTTTTTTAACATACTGTCCATCCTAGCTGTACAGTGGTTCCACCATGGTGACACTGTACTACTTGGTGTGGTGGGTGATGAAGATTTTTTTTTTTTTTTTACACCGATTGCTTTTACACCGCCCGTTAAAGTCTGTAAACAGCAATAATTTCTGCCTTCTCTCTGGCTGCATTGCTTGCAGGCCATTGAGAGCTACTGTGTGAGCTGTGGATTGGTCCCAGCGAGCTTTAGTCACATGGTACAAGGCTGTTGTGAATAGCCCGTGTACCATGTGACCCTTCTGTGATTCATTCACAGAGATTTCACACATAGTAAAGCAATGGAGTGTCACAATTGACATCTATGGGCTTAACGAGGGACTCTGGCATGTGAGTTCCACTGTCACTCATAGGGTGGGAGAGGGGCGGCACATGTGCAGTTTTTGATCACTTGATCGCGGTGACCGGTTGGTCGCGAGATACAAGATGGTCGCCCGTAAGAGTCGATAGGTGTTCCAACGTGTCCTGAGGACACAGCGGGCACCAGTTATTCGCGGTGCTTGCGCCGATCACTGTATTCAACCAGGGAGCTGCGCACAAGCAGGGGGCGGGGAAGGCGTCGTTTATATACAACTGGTATAGCCTGGACGAGAAGTTGGATTAGAACCCGGGGGAGCTGGAGTTAACCCCATAACCTGCCAAGGCCTGTAACCAGGGATAGCTGCATTCTACAGCAATGACGTCATGCACATTTATATGGTGATTTTACATTAAATCTATGTTTTTTATTGAGGATAAGAAGCAATGGGGACACATAGAAATGATCTTGGGAGGTCCGTTCTAGAGACCCTTCGCTAGACTAGAAAACATTTCCAATTTGCCCCCAGCAAAGAAAAGCATTAATAATCAGAGATCCTTACTGCCTTAGAAGAGCTTGCAGAAAAATCCTTAGAATCAGACGTCTGGCTATGCCTGGTACCCTCTGTGAGCTAGACCCGACATCACCACTATGTCCTGTAGGACCCAACCTTGTTCAGGAAGGAGACAATAGCGGCATTTCATCCATTCTACTGAGCATAAATAGCCAGCATGTCTGGCTAAAATGCGGGGCTGCTGTTAGAAACCACGGGGCCCCATACAGCCAACCTGACAGGCGACCAAACCCCCCCGCCTCAAAAAAAAAAAAAAAAAGTTTTACTATGCTTCAGGTACGAATGAACAGTGAATAAGTACTGATCACTCATTGTGTTCATTCAAACAAAATGGGCCGGTAAAAGTGACATATTTACCTGACCCTTCCCCCACTCTCCATCCTGAAGCTTCCTAATGTGTGCTTGCAGCTGCCAGCAGGAAGGAGAGGAGGGAAGCCAACAGCTCTGCTGGGGTGGGGGCACACGGGGGGGGGGGGGGGAGGTATGGTGCACAGGGAGGGTGATGGGTGCAGCAGGGGGGATTTAAAGTGTTACTGAACCAATAATAAAATCAGTTTGTATATACAGTAAAGCATGCTTGTTATACTCACTGTGGAACCTAAGGGTTAATACTCTGCATTGTTTAAAAAAGCTGTTTGATCCCGTCTTCCTTGATCCTCCCCTTCTTCTACTGTCCCCAATCCATTTGCTGATAGAACAGAGCATTGGGGACACTCTGTAAAAGCGCAGTTTGGTGTGTATTGCTAGAGTTTTTTTTTCTTGGGAGAGTGCATATGATCAGCACAGGGCCAATCGGCACTGTCAAAGGACAATCAAGGGAGAATGAAAAAAACTCCTCCTACAAGCTTTATCAGTGCTCCTGCTGGACACTGATAGAAGTCACAAGACTGCCTATATACTGCTGATGAGAAAAGGTATTTAGCAGTTTATATTTTACTAAAATTATTGCATTTTTGCATGTTGTGTGTACTGTGTGAGAACGGATATAGTGAATGCAGGGTCCGCGGAGACCAGATATAGTGAATGCAGGGTCCAGGGGAGAGCGGATATAGTGAATGCAGGGTCCGGGGAGACTGGATATAGTGAATGCAGGGTCCGGGGAGAGCAGATATAGTGAATGCAGGGTCCCGGGAGAGCAGATATAGTGAATGCAGGGTCCGGGGAGAGCGAATATAGTGAATGCAGGGTCCGGGGGGAGAGCGGAGATATAGTGAATGCAGGGTCCAGGGAGAGCGGATATAGTGAATGCAGGGTCCGGGGAGAACAGATATAGTGAATGCGGGGTTCCGGGGGAGAGCGGATATAGTGAATGCAGGGTGTCCGGGGAGACCGGATATAGTGAATGCAGGGTCCAGGGAGACCAGATATAGTGAATGTAGGGTCCAGGGAGAGCGGATATAGTGAATGCAGGGTCCGGGGAGAGCGGATATAGTGAATGCAGGGTCCGGGAGAGCGGATATAGTGAATGCAGGGTCCGGGGGAGACCAGATATAGTGAATAGAGAGTCCGCGGAGACCAGATATAGTGAATGCAAGGTCTGGGGAGAGCGGATATAGTGAATGCAGGGTCCAGGGAGAGCGGATATAGTGAATGCAGGGTCCGGGGAGACCAGATATAGTGAATAGAGAGTCCGCGGAGACCAGATATAGTGAATGCAAGGTCTGGGGAGAGCGGATATAGTGAATGCAGGGTCCGGGGAGACCAGATATAGTGAATGTAGGTCCAGGGAGAGCGGATATAGTGAATGCAGGGTCCGGGGAGAGCGGATATAGTGAATGCAGGGTCCGGGGAGACCGGATTATAGTGAATGCAGGGTCCAGGGAGACCAGATATAGTGAATGTAGGGTCCAGGGAGAGCGGATATAGTGAATGCAGGGTCCGCGGAGACCAGATATAGTGAATGTAGGGTCCAGGGAGAGCGGATATAGTGAATGCAGGGTCCGGGGAGACCAGATATAGTGAATAGAGAGTCCGCGGAGACCAGATATAGTGAATGCAAGGTCTGGGGAGAGCGGATATAGTGAATGCAGGGTCCAGGGAGAGCGGATATATAGTGAATGCAGGGTCCGGGGAGACCAGATATAGTGAATAGAGAGTCCGCGGAGACCAGATATAGTGAATGCAAGGTCTGGGGAGAGCGGATATAGTGAATGCAGGGTCCGGGAAGACCAGATATAGTGAATGTAGGGTCCCGGGGAGAGCGGATATAGTGAATGCAGGGTCCGGGGAGAGGGATATAGTGGAATGCAGGGTCCGGGGAGACCGGATATAGTGAATGCAGGGTCCGGGGAGAGCGGATATAGTGAATGTAGGGTCCAGGGAGAGCGGATATAGTGAATGCAGGGTCCGCGGAGACCCGATATAGTGAATGTAGGGTCCAGGGAGAGCGGATTATAGTGAATGCAGGGTCCGGGGAGACTGGATATAGTGAATGCGGGGTCCGGGGAGAGCGGATATAGTGAATGCAGGGTCCGGGGAGGAGCCGGATATAGTGAATGCAGGGTCCGGGGAGAGCGGATATAGTGAATGCAGGGTCCGTGGGGGAGAGCGGATATAGTGAATGCAGGATCCAGGGAGAGCGGATATAGTGAATGCAGGGTCTGGGAGAGCGCATATAGTGAATGCAGAGTCCGGGGAAAGCGGATATAGTGAATGCAGGGTCCGGGGAGAGCAGATATAGTGAATGCAGGGTCCGGGGAGAGCGGATATAGTGAATGCGGGGTCCGGGGAGAGCGGATATAGTGAATGGAGGGTCCGTGGAGACCAGATATAGTGAATGCAGGGTCTGGGGAGAGCGGATATAGTGAATGCAGGGTCCGGGGGAGACCAGATATAGTGAATGTAGGGTCCAGGGAGAGCGGATATAGTGAATGCAGGGTCGGGGGAGACCAGATATAGTGAAATGCAGGGTCCGGGGAGACCAGATATAGTGAATGCAGGGTCCGCGGAGACCAGATATAGTGAATGTAGGGTCCGGGGAGAGCAGATATAGTGAATGCAGGGTCCGGGGAGAGCGGGATATAGTGAATGCAGGGTCCGGGGAGACCGGATATAGTGAATGCAGGTTCCGGGGAGACCGGATATAGTGAATGCAGGGTCCGGGGAGACCGGATATAGTGAATGCAGGGTCCGGGGAGACCGATATAGTGAATGCAGGGTCTGGGGAGAACGGATATAGTGAATGCAGTGTCCGGGGAGAGACCGGGATTATAGTGGAATGCAGGGTCTGGGGAGAGCGATATAGTGAATGCAGGGTCCAGGAGATCAGATACAGTGAATGCAGGGTCCGGGGAGAGACCAGATATAGTGAATGCAGGTCCGGGGAGATCAGATACAGTGAATGCAGGGTCCGGGGAGAGAGCGGATATAGTGAATGCAGGGTCCGAGGAGAGCGGATATAGAGAATGCAGGGTCCTGGAGAGACCGGATATAGTGAATGCAGGGTCCGGGGAGACCGGATATAGTAAATGAAGGGCCGTGGTTTAGTAGCACTTTAACTGGAACGATTCCTCCATGTAATGGCTCTCTGCAGCAGCTTGAAAGCTGGCTTCTCCTCCTCCCGCTGGTTTCTCAGCTGCTGCAGAGAGCCATACATGGGGGGATCGGTTCCAGTAATTGCCCCCTCCGTTCACATCGATTCGATCATCCAGTTGCTGGCCCAATAATGTAGGACTGGTGCTAACCCCCTTATCTACGGCCCCTGCAATATGGCTGATTTTGAAAAAGATTCTATTTGCAAGGGAGTATTTATTTCCTTGCGTGAATCATCTTCTCGCACAACCCTCTGATCTGATTGCATCTCCTTTTCCTGTACTTCGGCTACAGCAAGAGCGGAACGCGAGGTACCATGTGACAGTGTGGTCACACAGGGAATATTGGAGCAGGTTCAGTCTCCCTCAGACAGCGGGATAGAATATCACCCCTCTCTCCTCTGTGGGGATGACGACTACCTGCCCAATAACGAAAACAAGTTCCATAGGCCCTGACCACCTCTCCACACTGAGGATGGGACAACACATCATCTGAACGTTCGTTAGAAATGTTATCTCCTGGATAAGGTATACAACACACAAAGTACTAACTCTTTAATACCATTTACTACTAGCCCTAACACTGTCCTGGGACTTTCAGTACTTGTTATTAACTCGTGAATGATAACTGCTTTCATCAGTTGAGTCCTGGCTAAAAAAAAAAGACTATAAAGGTCCCTCCAGTGCAACCGATGAAAAAAAAAGTTTATTCATCCTACACCCACAGTTGATCCAGAGAGAAGGCAAAAAACTCAGCAAAGCACGATCCATACATGCTCCCTGTATAGGAAGAAACTTACCTTCCTGCCTGCCTGCAGTCTACAAAGCATCCATCCCAGTATTGTTTTTATAGGCAGCAAATTCTTATTTCATAAAAGCCATCCTAGTGGATAATTAGCCTGCTGGAAAAGCTTTTACAGGCGGCAGTCAGGGGCCGATCTTGTCCCCTCCCAGCCACTCCCCCGGTGTATCTCCAGTCTGGGGGACGGAGAGGACTGAGACCAGCGGTTCTCCAACCGGCATGTGAATAAGAGCTGAAATAGGTAACCAGGACGATCCCCCAATTCCATCTCTTGAGGGTATTTAGCAAACCTAGAAACACAATTAGTATATTGTCATTTCCAAGTTTCTGATCTATCTGATTACTCGGCCTAATTGCCGGCTAGTACAAGATGTGGTATCAGATACTAGAACTTATGCTGTTAACATTACCCATTCTTTAAAGAATATAAGTAGGAATGGATTAGGACTCAATAGGGGGGGCCGATAGGGGGTTAGTTAGGGGTTGAGGAAGGGTGGGGTGGTAGGATTAGAGGAGGTCGGGGGGGTTAGGACTAGGAGGAGGTCGGGAAATGGTTAGGACTAGAGGTGGGAGGGTGTGCAGTAGGGGGTTAGGATTAGAGAGAGGTTGGGGGTTAGGATTAGGGAGGGTGTCGGGGGTTAGGACTAGCGGAGTTAGGCACTAGATTGGACGTGGGTAGATGTAGGACTAGAGAGGTTGGGGGATTAGGACTACAGGAGGTAGGATAGTTTATAGATTTGAGGAGGATAGGGGGTCAGGACTAGGCTGGAAGTAGTCGAAAGGTGGAATAGAAGGGGTAGGGGGGGGGGACCTAGCCGAGTAGAGATCAGGACTAGAGGCAGGGTTAGGGGGGTGTTGGAGTGCTAGAGGAAGTAGAGGGTTAGGGTGCTATAGATCAGTGTGATTAGGACTAGAGGTGGGGGTTTCAGGACTAGAGGAGGTAGGGCGGAAAGGACTAGAGTTATAGAGAGGATAGGTATAATAGGGTCTGGTAGGGGGGAGGGGTTAGTGGGAAGTAGGAAGTAGTAGTTAGCATAGGGGTAGGGGGGTCAAGAAGGACTAGGGAAGGGGAGAGGGGGTCAGATAACTGAGAGTGAGGTGAGGGGAAGATCAGGACTAGAGGATTGGTAGGGGGTTTGAGGACTAGAGGCGGTAGGAGGATGTTAGGATTAGAGGAGGAAGGGGGAAATTAGGACTAGTGGTTAAGTAGGAGGTTTAATGGAATAGGAGTGGTCTAGGGGGTCAGGACTACAGGACGGTAGGACAGATCAGGACTAGAGGAGGTAAGGAGGGTAGTAGACTAGAGGAGGTAGGAGATTAAGACTAGAGGAGGTGAGGAAGTTTAGATTAGGAGGGGGAATTGGAGGGTTAGGGGAGGGTAGGAGGGTTAGGGACTAGAAGCTGAAGTAGGGGGGGGACTGGGAGGAAGTGGAGGTAGGACTGAGAGGGGAGTAGGAGGTTAGGATACTGAGGAAGAGGAGGGAGGATTAGGAGAGATGTAGGTTGGAATATGGTTAAATATGGACAATAGTTGTGAGGAAGTAAATATCTAAGACTAGTGGGAAGTAATAGGGATAGGACTAGAGGAGTTAAGGGGTTTTAGGACTTAGAGGGAGGTAAGGGGTTAGGACTAGGGAGGTGGCGGATTAGGACTAGAAAAGTTAATGGGGAGTAGGACTTAGAGGAGTAGGAGGTTAGGGATAGGAATTTTTGGAGGGGAACAATTGGACTAGAGGAGGGGGGGGTGTTGATGGAGATACGTAGAGGAGGTTTGAGAGTTAGTGACTAGGAGGAGGGAGGAGGTTAAACATATGATAAGGAGGGGTTAAAGACAGAGGGGTAGGGAGGTAAAGTAGGACTAAGGGATAGAGAAATAGTGAGGATTAGACTAGAGAGGTAGGAGGTTAGGACTAGAGGAGGCAAGAGGTTAGGACCTGAGTAGGAGGTTAGGGATAGTTAGAACGTACAGGAGAAGTAGGGGGTTAAGGATAGATGAAGAGGAGGTAGGCAAGAGGTTAAGGACGTAGAGGAGGCAAGAGGTTTAGGACTAGAGGAGGGGAGTTAAAAACTAGAAGAGAGGTATGGGGTTAGAAACAGGAGGCAAAGCGGGTTAGGAACTGAGAGAGGTAGGTTGGTTAGAACTAGAAGGATAGAAGGTGGTTAGAACAAAAGGAGGTAGGTAGGGGGGTTAGGAGGGGAGGGAAGGTGGGGGGGGAGGGGGTGCGGAATAGGACTAGAGGAGGGGGGTTAGGACTAAAGGAGTATTTTAGGACTAGAGGAGGTAGGTGATTAGGACTAGGAGGAAGTAGGGGGTTACAGGACTTTGAGGACTGGTAGGTGGTTAGGACTAGAGAGGTATTGGATTAGGATAGAGGAGGTAGGGGGTTTTAGGACTAGAAGGAGGTAAGGGGTTAGGACTCTAGGAGGCATTAGGTGGGTAGGACTACGTGAGGAGGTAGAGGGTTTAGGACTCAGGAGGAGGTAGAGGATTAAAAAACAAAGTTAACATTTGCATCTCCCTTTCTTCATGTGTTTCAAATAATTTTTCCCTGTAGCCACATTCCATTTATTACACAAAAACTTAATTTCTCTGAACCTTACCTTTATTTTGTTTTTTGGTTTCTTTGCATGCTATGGATTTCATGGGTTGTTACCGACGTGGTGAAAGAAAATTTAATGTCAATAGCACCTTTTAAAAACATATTTACCGGAAAAATGGTGACGTGTTTCAATTTTTACTTTACCCCACTGTGTGTATACAGTTGCAAGAAATAGTATGTGTACCCTTGGGATTACGTGGAGTTTTGCATGATTGGGCATAAAATGTGCTCTGAACGTCTCTAAGTCACAACAATAGAAGAACACAGTCTGCTGAACATAATACTACATCAAACATTAGATGTTGCCATGGTTTTTTTTACACTAACATGTAAAAAATTTTACGGCAGGGAGGAAAAGTTGTGAAACCTTTTGACTTAATAATGGTTGACCCCCTTTGGCGCAATAACCCCAACCCCAAAATTTCCCGTAGTTGCGACAGACCTGCACAACGTTGGAGTCTTTTGGACCCCTCCTCTTCCAAAACGTTTCGTGTAAATATTCTTGGGGCGGTGGGGAATCGCTTCTTAAGGTCATGCCACAGCATTTCATCGGGTTTTGGGTCAGGACTCTGACTGGGCCATCCAGAAGGATATTCTGTTTCTGTTTCAGCCCATTGTTTTGTTTAATTACTTGTTTGTTTGGGTCTTGTCCTTTGATCACCCATCCTTGCGGAGCTTCAGTTGGGGACAGTAATGTATGTTTTCTGCAAAAATGTCTTGATTTTTGTTTACTCTGGAATAATTTCCCCCTCAATGACAACAATCCCCCCAGGCCCCGAGGGAGCAAAGCAGCCCCA